TGAACAAGAGCGGTGAAATGGGATCACCCTGGCGAAGGCCGCGCTTGTTCCGGAAGAAGTGCCCTACCTCTCCGTTCACCGAGACCGCAGTTTGGCCCCCCGAGACCAACTGCATGATTCTGTGCACCCACACCGGCGAGAAGCCTCGGCTCAATAGGATTTGTCTGAGGAAATCCCAGTTGACGCGGTCGTAAGCTTTTTCGAAGTCTAATTTAAGTAAAATCGCCGGTTCGCGCGTGCGCCTAAGTTCGTGGAGGGTCTCTTGCAACGCTAATGGTCCCTCCAAAATGTTCCTACCGCGGATAAAGGCAGATTGGGAACGGCTGATTGTGCGGTGTGCGATCGGAGTAAGCCGCGTGGCACAACCCTTGGCGCAAATTTTGAAGGGCACATTAATGAGCGCTATTGGTCTATACTGGCGGATATTATCCGCACCCGGTACTTTCGGAATTAGGGAGAGCACTCCGAAGTTTAACCTAGCAATGTCCACAAAACCGCGCATGAAGCCATTGCACAACGCGAAGATGGGTTCGCGCAACAGTGGCCAAAAGTGTTTAAACATCGCCACCGGCCACCCATCAGGCCCCGGTGCCGTGTCAGTTTTCATGCTTTGGAGAGCCTCGTCAATCTCCTTGGGGAGAAACGCGAGCCCCAGCTCTTCGTTCTCCGACTCCAAGACCTTTTGAGCTGGCAGCCAGGCGTCCTCTCTCAGCCTGGCGCGCTGAGGCTCGTCGGTCCCCATCAGGCTTATGTAAAAGTCGTAGATGTGTTTGCTAATCGCTGGTTGCTGGAGAAGGAGCCCCTGCTCCGTCTGCAGCCTCAGGATTAGGCATTTCCTGCGACGTCCATTCGCGTATGCGTGGAAGTAGCCAGTGTTCGCATCTCCCTTGAGCATTCACTTAAGTCCTCCTCGGCGCCTCCAGTATTCCTCCTCGGATCGGAGCAACTCCTCGACTTGCCCTTCCAAGGCGTATCGATGCGCCCATTCATGCTCCGAGAATGGACGCGAGTCTGCTTGAGTGTCGAGGATTGCGATCTCATCGAGAAGTTTCGCCCTCAAAACTTTCTCGTCTCGTCCCTGATTCGCGCCCCATCCCTTGAGGCTTGCACGCAAGCGTCCCCCCACCGCTGTCCAAAACTCCATAGGGCCGCGCTGCTGGCCCGTGGCTTGAACACTTCTCAACCATCTTTCCCGAAAGATGTTGTCGAAATCAGGAGCCTCGAACCACGCTGTTTCGAAAAAGAAACGCGGGCTGCGACGTACCTTATCTTCCCCTGAAGATAGGATGAGTGGAACATGGTCCGAGCCGATCCTTGTTTCAGCAAGGAGCGAGCATAATGGGAACACCACTTCCCATTCCGGAGACATGAAGGCGCGATCCAAGACGGATCTCACCGGGGCTAGTTGTTTGTTGGTCCAAGTGTATCTTGCCCCCGTTCTTGCCACTTCCCTAAGTGACATTGACGCAATTGCGCTGTTGAACATGGTCACCCTTGACCAGTTGATGTTGTCATTGTTTTTGTCCGCGTTCGATCGGATGAGGTTAAAATCACCACCCACTAGAAGCGGGACCTGGGATGCGGCAACTGCCAGCACCTTGGCTTCGAGTTCTCCCAGAAACTCTGCCGAACGTGAGTGATCTGCTGGTCCATAGACTTGCAGGATCACGAGCTCGCGTAGCGAAGCTCTCACGCAAATATTGGCTGCAATGAAGGAGGTGCCTACCTCCCAGGACAGCACCTCATATATGGCACTGCAAAAGCCAAGCAGCATGCCACCCGAATGCCCAATAGCCGGGCTATGTTGCCAAATGAAACGCTCCAAAGGGTCTATGGCTACGAGGTCTTGGTGACGAAAATCAGTTTTAATGGTTTCCTGGAGCCCTACTATATCAATCCCTTCTTTCCTGATGTAGTCGCGGAGTTGGGTGCGCCGCCCCGAGTGGCCGAAGCCACGGATGTTCCAAATGAGCATCCGCATCTAGATGACGCGGTTTCGCAGGCGGATCCCCCTAGAGGTGATCGCCTTGGCCACGCGCCTCGCCTTGCCGCAGCGAGGCGAGGGAGGAGCAGCAACCCCTGTTGCTGTCTCCCCTTCGGGCCGGAGACTTAGCGACGTCGAGGGATCCTCCTCGACAGCCATATGCTCCGCGTGTTGAGCAGCCGCCGCTGCGAGTGCCGCCTGAGCCAGTTCCTTAGCGCGCACCAGCGAGATTAGCTCGCTAACCCCGCCCTCCCTGATTGGTTCAACTCCACTCTCCACCAACACCTCGCCTAGGTGCTCGTTCGAGAAACAATCCAAAATCGAGAAACGGGACAATGGATTACCTGAGGTTTCCAGGTTCTTCTGTGCTTGGAGGAGTTGGGCGCATTGGAGCGAAGGCATGTTTCCTTTAGCGCCCTTAGCCCGCGCGCTGACCCGCACATGAGCTACCTGCCCGTCCACGACGGTCTTGGTACGCTTGGCCTTCGGGACAGGCACCGTCTTGTCCGCCTCCAGCGCGGTCGGAGCGGAGGTGGGCACAGCCAGCGCCATCACCGCCTGCCGGGGGGTCACCGGCGCACCCTGGAGCTCCGCCACACGAACGGCCTCCGCGCTAACCTTGCGCACGGCCACCTTCTTGAGCTGCTTCACCGCCCCGAGCTTGTTGGGGCTGCGCCCCCCTTGGGATGGAGAGCGTGAGGCAAGCGGCTGCGACTCCATGGACACCGCAATAGGAGTGCGCGCCTCCCCCAGCGGTTCCACCATCTGGCCCGCACCAGGCTCCGCCACCGCCCGCACCGGGGGGGACGTGACCGAGCCCAGGTTGGAGCCATACTGGTTGGGGATTGGGAGGTCCAGCTCCATGGACCCCCCTGTCAGCGGCGGCTCCATCGGAGGCATCGGCGCCCTGGTTGTCGCCCCGCCCTTGTCAGAGATGCCCAGGTTCTCCCAAGCCGTCGTATCGATGGAATCATCCTCCATGCTTGCATCCGCCTCCTTGTCGCCGCCCAGATTGCCGTCGGGCCCCTCCCCACCCCTGTCTTGGTCAGTTGGAGAAGGCGGGTGTGGAGAAGGCAGGGCAGGTGCTGTGAGTTGCTCCGGGGGAAGTTCGGGCTCGATGGTGATGTTGAAGCCCTCGCCATTGAACCAGATCTGGACCAGACCACGCAGTTTGCGGGGGGTGCGGCATGCGAAACGCATACGGACTGGCGCCGGACGAGTGAGGGACTCCTCATCCACCAGCAGGGGACGGCCAAGCATGACGGTGGCCGCCAAGAGCAGGTCGGAACGCCGGTGCTTGGGAGGGATTCCTCCCAGCTTGACCCACACCTCTGGCATCGCCATTCCTTTGGGGGCTTCGAGGACCGCGTCGCGGATGTCCACCATGAGGTTGTTGAGGGAGAGGAACAGCTTGCCGCTCCTGGTTGCCATCCGGAGCATCACCGGATCTGGGAAGACCACCGAGAACGCCCCTCCCTCCATTGCGGAGATCTGCCAGTCCCATTCGCCCTCGAAGAGGTGTGGCAGCTCCACTTGTAGAATCTCTTGGGTGAGCGCGCCAGAAGGCATGGAGAGCACAGCCGCGTTGGCCCCCAGCTGGATCTGCGGCTCCTCCCGCGAATCATCCGGGTACTGGAGGCAGAAGAAACCCTCGCCGGAGATGGAGTGTCCCATGGTTTGGAGGAGCAGAGGCTTGCCCCGGGTCGGGCACTGCGCAGACGTGTGCCCCTCCTTGGTGCACACCACGCACAGAGGCTTGAAGGTGCAAAAGCTCTGAAAATGGCCCGTGCGCCCGCATCGGAAGCATTCAGGTCCGTCGGCCTCCTCGATCGGGATTGGCTCCGCCTCCGTGCCCTTGGATGAGCCCGGCATCTCAGCTCTGGGCGGGAGGGGCAGCTTGGAGGCCGCCGCCCCCGCAGGCTTGGATTTCTTCTTCGCTTGGAGGCCGCCGCCCCCGCAGGCTTGGATTTCTTCTTCGCTTGGAGGCCGCCGCCCCCGCAGGCTTGGATGAAGTGAATTATCGTCATCGCTGATCATTGGATCTGTCTGAACGTAACAGTGGCAGACACCGTTCGTTCCCGCGGTGGCCGCGGTGCACGGCGGTGGGAATCCGCGGTCGTGGGGATGGAAGGAAGACCTAGCATCTCATCTCCGGGCCATACCTTGCGTGGGCCTGGAGCCGCAGGCATCCATCGTCCTCTTCTTCACAGCGAGCACCGGAGATCCTGAACACGAGCGCTCCCATTTAAAATGTCATCACATCACTCAGACGTTCAGAAAGAAGGCTCGCCGGAGAAAACAAACCAAAAGAAAGCCCAGCTCCCCGTGCCCAATTTTCCCCACGGTGCTTTCCATCAGATTGTTTTTTGTCGAGCTCGAGCACCTGTGCCGCCCCAGAAAACCCCACGACAGAGACCACTTTCGAGCAGGTTTTGCATGCGCTTTTGAGCATCGTCCTTGGAGGTGGCAAGTAGCCACCGGCAAGCAAAGCTCTGGTGCCACGGCAACCGGAAATTCCCTCTGCCAGTCGCCCTGCGCCTAGCTGCCATGGCTAAGTTGCTTGCTCGCAACGGCTACAGTACAGGAGAAACGATACCTTCCTTGCCCCCTTTCCCTCCAAAATTCTCCCCCCGTCCTCCTCCTCTTCTCCCGAGCGCCTCTGTCCGTGCCTGCCGGTGCTGCGCCGTGGCCACGTTGCTTGCCCCGGTTACTTAACCCCCCGCCCGCCCTCACTCTGCAGTGCCACGTCGCGCTGAGCCATTGGCCATTGCTGCTGATCGCTTCCAGCTCCCAGGCCTGTAGCTAGCTGCTAGCTGGTGGTTCGCCCGTTGCCGGCCCCATGAGCAAGAGGCCGGTGGAGGCGGGCGGCGAGCGGCCGCCGAGCCGTGGCCGCGCCGCGCCGCGCTCGGCTCGACACCACGGCGCGGGCGCGCAGAGGGAGGCGGAGGCGGCGGCGGCCGCGGCGGCGGTGGCGGCCGCGCTGCGCGACGATGCTGCCGTGAGCAGCAGGGCGGCGATGGCGGCTCGCCCCAGGCGTGGGCCCAACGAGTTCGTCTCCTACCGCCAGCCCGGCGCGAGCGAGGCGTCCATGCATCACCATCCTGGCGACGAGCGCTTCCCCGGCGGGCCGAGCCACGGCGAACTCCAGGAGGTCGACGAGCCCGAGGCGCCGGCGCAGCCGCCCGGCGGCGGGCGCGGGCCCTACTACATGGCGCCGTGGCAGAGGCGGGGCCGGCCGCCGCCACAGCCGCTGCCGCCAGTGGCGGTCGACGAGCCGCGGTACCGGTACGAGCGCGTCCCGGGAGAGCAGAGGATGAGGATCCCGGGGCCGGTCCAGGCGCCGCGGATGGGCGCGCGCCCGACCGGCAACGGCGGCTACCGGACCAACACCACGAGGGTCGAGCGCGTCACCACGATCAAGCAAGACGACGACGGCGGCGGGCCTTACCAGGCGGGCGCGCCGGTGCCGAGCAACGGGAGCCCGCAGCAGCAGCAGCAGCAGCATGATCACCAGGGGTCGACGTCGCAGGCGCCGGCAGGACGTCCCCGCTGGACGCCGGGGAGGAGGACTCCGGCAGGCTCCCCGGGCTTCCTCTCGCCGGACCACGGCAGGAAGAAGCGCAGGCAGCTGCCGGCCTTCTGCTTCACCCTCTGCTGCATCCTGTTCTGGCTGGCGGTGGTGGTGGTCGGCGTGGCCGTGCTCACCGTGTACCTCTACTACCGCCCGCAGCCGCCGAAGCTCCGGGTGACCGACGCGTCCCTGAACGCCGGGTACGTGGACGAGCTGACCGTCCCCGGCGGCCCGGCCCGCGGCCTCGCGCTCAACGCGGACCTCACCGTGCTGGCCGCCATCACGAGCCCCAACGCCAAGGTGAAGATGGTCCTCTGGTACATGCAGCTGGACCTGTACTTCGAGGGCCACAGGATCGGCACTTCGACGGTGCTGCCGGCGCCGCTGTTCGAGGACCCCCGCACCTACGCGCTCCGGACCGTGGACTTCGTCGTCAGCGAGGCGCCGCTGTCGCGGGAGGACGCCATTGCGTGGCGGAACGGGACGGTGGCGGGCGGGCCCGTGAAACTCAAGCTCGTCGGGAAGTTCCACACGCAGCTCAACTTCGGGCGGTGGCTGCCGTACAGGTACTGGGTGTACCCGCGCTGCACCCTCTGGATGGACCCGCCGCCCACCGGCAAGCTGGTGCGGGCACGCTGCTGACCTCATATCGACATATCGCCACACTGCATTTTCATCTAGCTGTTTTTTTAACTTTATTACTGAAGAAATTCCGGGTTTCTTTCGTCTGTCTGATGAAATTATATGATACATAACGGCAGGAGGATGCCTGGTAGTATAGGTCATTGGAGAAACTAATTCAGAAATTGTTCACGTAGAGACTATGTCTAGAAGTATTGTCGAATCACGAATGTAGTATGTGTTATGTGGGGCTGAAGGATATAAACGTTAGAGCCCAAGGATTCCTGTTTTCTCGACAAGTTTAATATCCGTAAACAAAAAGCAGACTAATATCTACTCCTTCTGTTCCGAATTATTTGTCGAAGGTATGAATGTATTTAGATGTATTTTAGTTTTAGATACATCCATTTCCATGACGAGTAATTTAGAACGGAGGGAGTATGATTTTGCTTAAATGTCAGTCAGCTGGGATCATGCGGGAGGGTACGTTTTGTTCCGCTGGCCAGCTCGCCGGAGTTCTTGAAACAGAAAAATCTAAAATAAACCTTAAATTCATACTCAAAGTCCAATCAAACCCCAACCTCAAAATCCATGAAACTAGCACCCCGTACTCTCTATTTCTGACAATTCCGCGGGGTCACACATTACTTTCACTTACTCGCGGGTCCATGTGTCATATTGATCTTGCTAGTTAAGGGCATTTCCAACACCGACCTGTAAATTCTCTTAGGCATCCCAGCATGGCATTTTTTCAACTGAGAAACGTGAAAGACATCGTGAACTCCTGACAATCCTTCGAATGATTCCAGCTTGTATGCAACTTCTCCTCTACGTTCAAGAATTTTGTATGGGCCTATAAATCTGGGTGCTAACTTTCTTTAACACCAAACCTCTTGCTTCCTCAAAGTGGAGACACACGGAGATATGCTCGGTCTCCCACTTCGTACGTTACCTCCTTGCGTTTACTATCGGCATAACTCTTCTGTCTAGACTAAGCTATCTTGAGTCTGTCATGGGTCACTTGCCTTCTCTTCGGAATCTCTGATAAGATCGGGACCAAAAAGTTTTCGGTCTCCAACACAATCCCACATCAACGATGTTCTGCACCTCCTTTCGTATAGAGCCTCGAAAGGGGCCATCTTCAAACTAGTCTGATAACTGTTGTTGCAGGAGAACTCTGCATAGGGTAAAATACCATCCCAGCTAGCTCCATAGTCTAGTACACAAGCTCTCAACATGTCCTCTAGAATCTCACTGACTCTTCGGTCTATCTATCTGTCTGTGGATGAAAAGTTGTACTTAACTCCAGCCATGTACCCAAAGTTTCGTGTAACTGATTTCAAAACTTTGAGGTAAATTGTGTTCCTCTATCTGATACGATACTCCTTTGAACTCAATGCAGACATACGATCCTGGTCATGTATATCTTGGCTAACTTAGCACTTGTATATGTGGTCTTCACAGGAATGAAGTGAGCTACCTTGGTCAAGCGATCAACCACTACCCAGATAGAATCATAACCTGAACGAGTCCTGGGTAATCATGTGATAAAACCCATCCCAAGTTTTTCCCATTTCCACTCGGATATTGGTAAAGGCTGAAGTAACCATGCTGGCTTCTGATGTTCCGCCTTTATCCCTAAAAAACATCGCATACTGCTACATACTCGGCAATATCCTTCTTCATATCTGTTCACCAGAAACTTTCCTTCAAGTCCAGATACATCTTGATGTTGTTTATGTGTATCGAGTACGGTGAATCATGGGCGTCCTGAAGTATTAACTTCCTGAGCTCTGGGGCATTGGGCACATAGATGCGATCCTCAAACCACATAGTTCCGTGTCCATACTCACGAAAATCTTTAGCTTTTCCTTTACTCATCCTTTCCTTTATCTTAGCAATTTCCTTGCCCGTCTTCTGGGCTTCTCTGATTCTTTCGGTCAATGAGGATTGAATCTCCAGTGTAGCAACATATCCTCTTGGAACTATCTCCAACCGGAGATCTCTGAGGTCGTCGGCTAACTCCTGGGGTAATCATCCTTCTATAAGGGTGTCCACAAAACTCTTGTGGCTCAAAGCATCTCCTACAACATTAGCCTTTCTTGGATGATAATGCAATCTCATGTCATAGTCCTTGATCAATTCTAGCCATCTCCTCTGTCTGAGGTTCAATTCCTTCTGCGTGAAAATATACTTCAAGCTCTTATGATCCGTGTAAACATCTATTTTCGATTAGGAAATGTCTCCAGGTCTTGAGTGCATGCACTACGGCTACTAACTCCAAATCATGTGTGGCATAATTCAAATCATGAGGTCGTAGCTGCCTGGATGCATAGGCTACAACTTTTCCTTGTTGCATGAGCACTCCTCCAAGTCCTTGACGAGAAGCGTCACAATAAACCTGAAAATCCTTACGGATGTTCGGCAAAATCAGCACTGGAGTTGTAACCAAATGTTTCTTCAACTCCTGGAAACCGACTTCACATTCCTCAGTCCAAGTATACCTGGTCTCTTTCTTCAACAACTCCGTCATAGGCTTTGCAATCTTAGAGAATTTCTCGATAAACCTTCGATAATATCCTGCAAGTCTGAGAAAACAACGGATCCCCTTGACTGAGGTGGGTGCTTTCCATTTTGTGACGACTTCAACCTTGGAAGGATCCACTATTATTCCTTCTCCAGAAATAATATGTCCGAGAAATCTGACTTCCTTCAACCAAAAATCATATTTTCTGAACTTGGCGTATAACTGATGTTCTCAGAGCTTCTCCAGAACTAGACACAAGTGTTCCTTGTGTTCTTCCTCGCTCTTGGAGAATATCAATATGTCATCGATGAACATCACGACAAACTTGTCCTGATATTCCATAAATACCTTGTTCATCATTCTCATAAAATATGTAGGAGCATTAGTCAATCCAAATAACATGACAATCATATAAACCATACCTTATGGTGAAAGTTGTTTTGGGTATATCCTGTTCATGAATCTTCAACTGATGATACCCTGATCGAAGATCGATCTTGGAGAATACTCTGTCTCCAACTAGTTGATCAAACAAATCATTGATCACATGCAGAGGATATTTGTTCTTGATAGTCACCTCATTCAATGCACAATAATCTACAACCATCCTCAAGGTTTTGTCCTTATTCTCTACCAAAAGAACTGGGGCTCCCCAAGGTGATGAGCTTGGGAAAATATATTCTTTCTCCAACAACTCCTTGATCTGCTTCTTGGTTTCCTTCAAATCATTAGGGGGGCATCCGACATGCTCTCTTGGATATTGGCACTGTGCCGGGCAATAATTCAATCAGGAACTCAATTTCTCTGTCTAGTGGCATGCCCGGTAATTCCTTCGAAAATACATCGGGGAAGTCTTGTACAACTGACACTTCCTCCTGAACAACTCCCGTGAGGGAATTTACCAGATTATTCTTTGGTGTGTGCCTGGATACATACTTAATCCTCTTCTGCTCCGGGGTGGTGAGTAAAATCGTCTTGCGGGCACAATCAATGTTCCCTTCATACTTCGTCAACCAATCTATGCCTAGGATTATGTCCAATCCCTGTACTTAAATTCTACAGGAAACTCATGATTTCCGATGTTGAGGTTTGAGTGACAACCTAATCCTGTCGTCATCTCACCTCCCGGGGAACTGACCTGAAAAGGGCTCTTAAGGGTTATAGTGGGCAAACCATACTTTTCCACAACTATCCTTGATATGAATGCATGCGATGCACCAGAATCAAAAAGTACAAATACTGGACGTGAGTTTAACAAGAATTTACCAACCATAGTCTCTGGGTGATCGTAAACCTCCTCCACATCAATGTGGTTCACGTGAGCATGAGGAAAATAATTGGGATTTTTGGTTGCAGAGCTTCCATTGCCATTGCCATTTCCATTTCCCTACTTGGACTCCGGAAAATCGGTGGCATGATGTCCCGTCGTCTTTCACTTGAAACAGGTAATATGACTCAGATCCTTCTGAGCCGGGACGGGACAGTGCTGACTGCCATTGCCTCCATTGCCAGTCTTGGAGATGCTGTGGTTGTGATGATTGCTCCCATTTCCTCCATGAGTATGTCCTCCATGGGTGTGGTGAGTGTATCCTCCTGATCCGGTGTTTCCCAAGTATGGGGTGTAGCGGGGCTTCTGCTGAGCTCCAGAGTTGTACTTGCCATGTGCATACTTCCTTTTGCGGTTATCTATCTGCTGCTGCTTGCCTTCAAGAATGATGGCCTTGTCTACCAGCTCCTGCAAGTTGTTGAAGGTAGCCACCATCAGTTGCATTCCCAGTTCATCATTGAGTCCTTCCAGAAAATTCTCCTTCTTTGCGACATTTGTGGCTACATCATCTGGGGCATAGCGAACTAACTGACTGAACTCGTCCACGTACTGTGCCACAGTATGATTCCCCTTGCGTAAGTTGCAGAACTCACACTTCTTCCAACTCATGGCACCAGCTGAGACATGAGCGGTGCGGAAGGCATGCTGAAATTGATCCCATGTGACTGTTGCAATGGGATAAGTGGTGGTGTAGTTTTCCCACCAAGAGGCTGCGGGTCCATCAAGCTGATATGCGGCAAAGCGCACCTTCTCCACATCCGTGCATCCATCAGTTACTAGCTCCCATCCGATCTTGCGGAGCCAATCATCAGCAACAATCGGCTCAGTGCTGCTAGAGAACACCGGCGGGTTCAACCTTAAGAAACGGGTCAGATTGTTGATAGGGGGTGGTGGCGGTGGATTGTTATTGTTGTTGTCTTAGTTCTGGATCAACATGTGCATCAGTGCATTCTGTTGCTGAATGAGCTGTGTGAGCTTCGGTGGAAAGTTGAATCCGGGGTCACGTCTTGGAGGCATATGATGTTTTAGAGTGGATGAGAATTAGAATAGAACAAGGGTCTAAAGAGAAAATAACACTACCCATATGCATGCAACAATCATTAACACACCAATCGTTCATTTATTCAACTCAATCATAGTTCAAGCTCGGGATACAAGTCTTACGAC